TACAAATAGTTTTCAGTTATGCAGTATCCCCACTTGCCAATGTTTCTTGACACAGCTTCTGAAACCTGGTCTATTTCAATCCCCCCTTCCTTTCCCCTTCTCTTTCTTTAAGTTCTTGCTTCATCCCCGTTCCCTTCCTGGTAGGTCTTACCTTAATCATTTAAAACCCCTCTCTTACTATTTATCTTGTCTTATTCTAGTACCCCTCTTCCTGTAATTACATGTTTTATTCTAATACTTTTGCATTCGAGGATGCTAAAATGCGTCATCTGCACTCCAACAGTAAACTTTCCAGTGACGCAAAAAACATCACTCCGATTACTATTCACAAAACGTGTATATTTAGTGCTGTCATGCATAATCTATTATAAATGCACTCTTGCTTTTGCATGTATTCTCTAGAGTATTCATTTGTGAATATTTTCACACTAAATTTATAGGTATAACCCAAGAAATAACTAAGAAAACAAAAATATTATTGTAAAAAAATTCACATTGCTGAGCAGCCAGTGAGCGAGGCTGGGAACCCAGATATGCTCAGGCATTCATTGAGAGGCTTGATTGGCAAAGTGCTAATAAAGCCAGACCTTACATGAGTGGGTCCATGTGAGGTCTTGCTTTATTAAACCCTTTCTGTAAAACCATTTCTTTCAACATTTCTATAAGAACTTGCTCAATTTCAACCTGCGATATATTGCTATATTTTATTTCACTCTTTCCCTAATATCAGATTTTGCTTTTTTTATTTCACCCCTCCCATTTAATGTGAGTTCTTCCTTTTTTATTTCACCTCTCCCCTTTCCCATGAGATCTTGACTGATTTTTTTTGTCACCCCTCCCCTTTCCTGTGAGATCTTATTTTATTTCATCTCTCTTGCCTTTTTGTGAGGTTTTCAGCACCTATCTTTACACGAAATCATACTTTACTTCAGTCTTTCCTTCCTATGAGTTTACTTCAATTCACCCACTACCCCTCTTTATGTAAGGCCTTATGTCTTCCTTCCCCCTAACTCCAGTCCCTATAATTTTCTAAGGTTCTCCCTTCCTATGAAATTCTGCTTTATAAATCTGGCATTATCTTACATGATCTTGCTCTATTTCACTCCAACTTACAGATCTTTTTTTATTTTCACTCTCCTACCTGTGAGATCTTGATTTTGACACCCACCCTCTTATCAACCATAATAATTAATAACTTATCTTGTGCCATAGTGTCATTATTAGTGCCAATGTTGTTGTGCTATGTATAATGTGTGTGTCAGTTATTATTTAGGGTCCTGGTAGTATAGTCAGGTTCATTCTCGACACACAATTGAGAATTCCAGGATCGAATCCCTTATTGGGCTTCAAAGAAATGGTTGGGCACATTTCTTTCACCTAATGCATCTGTTCACCCTAGCAGTGAGTAGGTAAGTAGTGAGTATCCTGGGTGGGGTCAGTAATTCGGCCTGGGTCGGGGAGGGGGGCCTCGACAAAAGCCAAAACATGTATGAATACACTCTGGCTTCCTGTTCCCCGACACAATGAATTATTATTCAGGTTAAGGCCAGAAGTGGATGCATGACTGTGTGGACATTCAGCCACTTGGCTAAGGGGACCATGACAAGCCTAACAGGCTTTCCCTCTCCCTTTAACAATGGAAGCCTATATAATAATGATACACTAAGTCAGAATTTGTGTTTTTATGTCATGTGTTTTGTGTTGCCTAATGTAATACAGTAATCTATTTGCAACAGGTTGCTGCAACAAAATTATTTGGCAAGAATTAACCAGTGTGTTACTGTTTTAGCCAAACTGTACTTATACCAGTAACAACTGCCAAGTTCCTTGAGTTCTAAGTCTTACAATATATAACCTAAATCAGGCTTCTCTGGTAAAGTTAGGTTTTTATTACTTGAAGCCTGCATAGCCATCCCCTACCAGGCTACCCATGAAACTTGAAACTCAAACTATAGCATGATCCTCACACCAACTGTTTCCTATATTTGATGGAAATATTAACAAAATCTTGGAGCTGCCCATTGCTTATAGTGTGCTTATTTGTGTTTTAGTTTGAAAAGTCCAAGTGACTGCAACCTAACTAGAGAAGCTGAATACCAGTGCTTCTGCTTATTTGCAGAAAGTTAGAGTTAGGGTTACACAAAATACGATAGATCCACCACTGTAAAGGCCAAATTCACATTTCCAAACTACTATCTAGGAAATACTTTATAATAATGTATATACAGTATATCAAATTTAAAATCTTTTCATGTGCTGCAAATACCTTAAAGTAATGTTTACCAAGCACTTATAAGGTGTTTCAGCTATTATAAAGATACAAAACTAAATTTTTGTTAATAATCAAATGCCGTCCTTACATCAGCTTTAAGACTCTTGCTATGTGTCAACCAAAAACTTGCTTATACTATTCCTTGCTACATATACTGCCAAAAACTGTAAAGAGATTACTAAAAGGTAATTGTATACCAAATTCACATACACTTGGTTGTAAACTTACATACAAATAAATAATGATAAATAGATCAATATACTTAGCAAATTTTCATCAAGGTCAGATTTACTCATTTAATAATTTAAAAGAGTTAATCCTTTACCATAGACTGCATTATGCTGACAAAATGCTGATAGAAGTGTTTTCCAAGTAATATGAATACTGTAATGAAAAATTAAATCATAATGCGAATGCTACATCATCAGTGGGGTTATGTTATTGTTGTACTGTATATTAAAACATCTGGAAAGCAATGAGCTGTTGTTCTTTAGTGCTATAAATATGGTATGTTTCTCCTAGGCATGGGTCATACTCAGCATATTTACCCAAGTTGTGTATTTTATATATTGTATATATATAGTGTGTGTATATACAGTATTATATATAATCACCTTGGGCAGTGGATGCCTCAAACACCTGTCCTCTGACAGGGAGGCGGATGGACTAATGATTGTACTATGCGTTAGCCTGAAAAGAAACAGTTCCCAAGGGCCCAGATGGGACTTGCCAATCTTTATGGCTGTTTACCACTCTACAGTGGCTGTAATATTTCATTCACGTGCCGATGAAGAGAAACAATAACGTGACTGAAAAATGTTGGTTTGTGATTGTTAGTCAATTGTGACCATTATCAAGTCACAATTGACTTGATAATGGTCCAGAATGGACCAAAACGTCATTGTCTCTCCAATTTCTAGTGTGGTTTGGTCAACACTTCATTCAGCTTGAGTGCCTTGAACACCTGTCCTCTTATGTGGGAGGCAAACTCTCTATTGACTGTACTATGGGTTAGCCTAAAAGAGAAGGTTCCCAAGGCAACTATCTGCTGCCCAGTTAGGAATTCCATATCTCCGTGGCTTCCACTCAAGCACAGAAGGATTAGGAATACCACGCCCTATGTCATATCTTAACCATCTGGGCAGCAATTAATTACCTTGGAAACCTTCTCTTTTAAGGCTAACCCATAGTACAGTCTGTCGAGTGTCTGCCTCCCACGTTAAAGGACAGGTGTTTGAGGCACTTGGTGCCCAAGGTGAATGAAATGTTAAATCCACGGCAGTGTGGCATACAGTTTATATTGTGGTATGTATTAGTAATACCACGACTTAGGGCCTGGTCGACGACCGGGCCGCGGGGACACTAAGCCCCGGAAGCACCTCAAGGTAGCCATGGTATTACTAATCCTTCTTTGCTTGAGTGGTAGCCATGGAGATAGGGAATTTGGGCAGTGGTTAGTTGCCATGGAAACCTTCTCTTTTAAGGCTAACCCATAGTACAGTCTGTAGATAGTCCGCCTCCCACATCAGAAAACGGTCTAGTATAGTACATATTATATGTACTGTACTATATTAGGCCCAGGATTGCTTGGAGAGGGGTAAGTAATGTTCTATTGTATATCTATGTTGTGGTTAAGAAATCTTCACATTTGGCCAAATTCATTTATTTTTTTTATTTTATTTATTTATATATACGAGAGTTGTTACATTCTTGCATAGCCACTAGTACGCGTAGTGTTTCAGGCAAGTCCTTAATCCTATGTTCCCCAGAATATGACCCCACGAAAAATCATTTAACAACCAGGTACCCATTTTACTGTTGAGTTAAACAGAGGCTACGATTAAGGATTTGTGCCCAGTAAATCCTCCCCGGCCAGGATACAAACCCAGGACAAAGCGCTCGCCAAATGCCAGGCGAGCGTCTTAACCACTACACCATGAGGACTGCAAAGCTTCAACGAGGAGGACTTTAACGAGGACTTCATAATGCTAAGCATCAACGTTTTGGTGGTCCATCATTACATATTGATGCTTTCAAGCAAATAGTTACTATAAGTACTGTCTAAGTTTCACGTATCCAAACACTATGGCAACGACCCCTCACCGGGTAAGCCAGACATCCCCATAAGCAGAATTCTTACCTGGGAAGTCCAAAAATTACCATTTTTGCAATTATTTGTACCACAACCAACATAATTTGAATTTCTACACACACACACACACACACACACTATAAATAACAAGTATGATTTAAAACAAAATCTTCAGCTTACTTTGTTATAGTTCATCTTCTTGTTTGATACTGTAGATCTTGAAATGTGTAGTTCTTGAAAATTTATGTAACCTAATCAACGGTTATCCAGATTTCTGTCCAGATGTGGTGAAGTTTTGCCAGAAAATTATCCAGAGTTGATTTAGACCCCATGGAAGTCTGCATTATCCAGCCAAATCTTCGGTTATCTGGATTTCTGTCCGATAATAGGGAAGTTTTGGCAGTAAATTATCTGGACATAATTTTAACCAGATAACCCAAATATTCGATTCAGCAGGCTTTGGATAACTGGGCTCATGCAGTAGTGAACTATCATTTTAGGAGGATGGACTGATATAATTGTATATACAGTATGTCACTAGGAATAAAATACAACATAACCATGTGTAATACTCAGCAGTCTTAAAATCATTCAACAAATTCAAGTTAAATTGATTAAACAAATTGGCCATTGCAGGTATATGGCTGGGAGAAGACAAGTATTTCTTCTTGAGCAGCGACAGTGAAGTGATGAGAGGGAAGAAGGGCCAAAATGGAGTTCACATCTGTAAGACCAAATCTGCCATCATCATTGGATATTACGAGGACCCCATTCAACCAGGACAGTGTGCCAAGGAGGTGGAGAATGTAGCAGAGTACCTGAAGGGCCAGAATTACTGAGTCCCCCTAGAAAGCCTATATAGATTAGATTAAAAACTTCACAGCATCATAATTATGTCTACAAAGAAGATTTGGCATGACATGACAGATGCTCTATCTCATCCCTTCTGGATTCTACAGCCCTGTTTCTATATGAAAATCATGGCGCCAATCTTATTTTTATACATGAAAATCATGGTTCTTAACCATTATTAAAAAAAAACTGGTTCTCTATCAAATTTGTCTGTCCAAACGTGTAAACTACGATGTCACAATACTGATCTTTTAATATAAAAGCCATGGCTCTATATAAGTTTCTTTCAATGAGAAGTCCATTGTTCTATACCTTTGTGAAAACAGATACTGTATAAAATTATAGTTTAACAACCTGTTTTCTGTTAAATAAACGATCCTATTAATTAAAGCAATCATACAATTGGGATAATGATGATATATAATTATAATTTGTAAACTTAATTTGATACATATAATACATTAAAAAGTCCTTTATTTCAGTTTAGTCATACCCTTTTATTGCATGTATCTGAGCAAGAGATGAAAGTAAGAGAGCGGGGAAAGGGAGAGGAATATAGGGCAGAGAAGAGGTGTGAGGGGACTGGCATAGAGAGGGAGAAAGACATAAGGAAGAGAAGGAGAGGGGTACAGATGAAGGGACAGAGGCACAATATACTTATATCACATATAAGAAAAGACTAGGTAGTGAAGTAGTGAAAAGGAAAACAAAAAGGAAAAATAAGTTGCAGGGAATAAGTAATAGCAGAGGAAGTGTAAATAGCAACAGAAGACAGTGTGTGAGGGCTCACAGCAAGGACTGAGTGGTACCCATCAGGGGTGCAAGGGCTGTCTTGAAGGTACCTTATTTCTTCCAAGAGAACAAAGCCTGACCAGGCTGTGGTGGGTATGTGGGGGCCACTCCAAGCAACAGCCTAGTGAATCAAACTCTCACAAGTCAAGCTTGGCCTCGAGCCGGGCTTGGGGAGTAGAACTCCCAGAACCCCAACAACCAGGTATCAACCAGGTATCAACCAGAGGTGAGATTGAGAAAATTGAAGGAAGATGAGAAGTTAGAAGCGAATGGGGAGAAGATTGAAAGAACACTCAGCTAAAAATATGCTTTTAACACTTTAACATTCTGTACTTCAACAGTAAATGTTCTGTTGATAGTTAAATACATCATCCATCTGAGATTTCTGAAGATTTTAAAAAGACAGCATTGAATGTACAGTAATGAAATGCCATTTTTTGTGGAGAGCTCTGTTGGCTCCCTGAAGCTATCCAAACTGATATGTGCTATATTAGTTTGGGGTCATCAGTCATAGTTCTTATGTGCCTACGAGGAATCATGAGCCAGAACCTGGCCCCCCTCAAAGAGGCGCAGGGAGCAATGGCCTATGAGCACTTTACATTAAAAGTACGTATGTCATAATTGCCATTCCCCAACTAGGGAAGGACCCAGAAAGGCAGGTGAAACTAAACAGACCACTGTCTGGTTAACCTGTGCAATCTGCATCCCAAAAGATTAAAATAACTCTCCTAGAAAGACACCAAACAAGCAACCCTTCATACAACTAGCACTTCCACTTGTTAGCGTGATTCACACTCCCCCCTCCCCTCATAGGTCGGGGAGGGGGAGCTGACAGCGCACCACTCCAGTTCTTGAACGATGAAAAACTGCTGACCAGAGGGAGGGAGTGTGTCATGGATCCCCCTGGGGCTCACCCAGAAAATAGCATTTAATTGTATTCAGTTCTGGTTTTCTGTGGGGAGCCCCCATTGGCTCCCTGAAGCTATCTACCCAAAGATAAGTAAAAGGAGGGACTTCCCCGGGAGGCGACAGCACCGCAGGTCTCAAGATGAAGAAGAGACAAACATCCGCGACAGGTGCCCCAAAGCCACACACGGCTAGGAAGTAACAGTAACATTCACTAGATACCTGGCAGCCAGGACCCCCTATTCAACCTCCAAAACCCCTGCGACCAAATGTCTACCCAAGATATGTTGCTGCTGCGAGAGCAGCATACTTTCGAACATCATGGGTACGAGGGCAGATAGCAGGCTGGCTGGACTTGACGACAATGTGGACAATCTGAGACACAAGCCCTGGAACAGGGAACCAGGGAAACCAGATCTACCCAAAGAGCATTCACCGTTATAGAACCAGTGGCCTGCAGGTAGCGCCGTAAAGCCGCCACCAGTCACATGTGATACAACCCCGGCCTAACCAACCAAGCATCCACGAACAATGGACCCTTCCAGAAGCCCGCTGTCTCATTCTTTGCCAGAAAATAAGGAGAAGGCTACAAGCCACTTGGATCAAATGAACAGAACCCACGGCGTCAGAGAGAGCACGAAGCTGCCCAACCCAACCTCCAGAGGCCAAGGCCAACAAAAACAAGGTCCTTCAAAAGGTATCCCCTAACTGAATGGGCCACAACAAAGCGAGGAGAAGAAAGAAAAGAAATAACACAGTCTAAAGACCAAGAAGGCTCAAGCAGCACATGAGCAGGATGGAGGTGAAAAAATGCATGTGAAAGCTTGCGGAGCGGAACAGAAGTAATATCCACCCCAAATGCAAGCTGGAACAGCTCTGCCAACGCCGCACGATAAGAGATGACAAAATTAGGCATGAGATGCCGACCCTAAAAAAGCCAAGAGAGAGAAAAGACAAAACAACCTGGTCTGAAATCGCCAAAAACCTTCTAAGAGAAAGAAAAGTGACACAGAAAGATTGTCAAGAAACTTCAAACTGTAGCTGGAAAGAAGACCGCAGGTGGGGACACCATCAAAGAAGCCACCTGATCACCTTATAAATGGTGATACACATGCGTCAGAAAGACCAGACGCATAGTGCAGAGCAGTAAGGCAGACCAGCGAGGTACCTCACTAGCCTGACCTGCTGAAAGAGGCAGAGCCACGGAAAAACCACCCGGGTTTAGACACTGAGCAAGCAGTGTCTGAAACCAAGGCTGGGCCAGCTACCATGGACTTAGGGGAACCACTCACCCCGATATGAATCCAGCCGAGCCAGAACCCGGAGCAACAGCTGGACCAGGGCAAAGAGGGAAGGAACCTCCCCACGACCAGTCCTACCAAAAAGCGTTTACTGCGAGGACCTTGCAGTTGGGAACCGGCGCCACATACAATGGGAAATGCCCAGACCATGCCAAATGCAAAGAAGTCCACATCCGGGAGCCAGTACGCCCGACAAAGCCAAAGGAAGGAGGCGGAGTCGATCGTCCACTCTGTGGAAAGAGGCATGAAACATGACAGACTGTCTGCTATGGACGATGGACACACACCCGGAATGTGAACAGCGTGGACAGCTAAACACCAAGAACTCAGCAGAACAGCTACCAGAAGTAATCAGCCCTAAAGCCACAGACCGAAGAGACCTCCCCGGGATGATACAAGGAAACATGGGGAGCAGTCCGAATGGAGCCGGATCACTGAGCCCCCAAGAAAGCCGGATCCATTGCAGCACCTGCCACATAGCTGCAAACACCTGCACCATGCTGTGAGCTGGAAGGAAGGACTGCGCCCAATGCCCCTGGCCAGCCTGGTTAGCACTGATCGCAAAACTCCAACCAAGAAATGAGGCATCTGTGAACACATCAAATGAGGGGGAGAGGAAGGCGCAATGGCACTTAAAAAAAATGAAGAGGAAGCTGAAGATGCAGCAACTGACGAAAGAATACTGGGACACGAACCCAGTGAGAGCAAGAGTGGCGAAAGAGGCCGCTCCGAAGATACCAGAATAGCCTCCGAAGCCAAACCCAGCCCAGCGGAGAAACCAGCAGGGCAAAGTTCAGGCTCCCCCACAGGTGCTTGAGCAACTGTCGATGGACTCGGGTCCCCCTCAAAACAGCTGAAGGCGGGACTGCAACCGGAGCAAAGGCCCAGCCAAGCCCACACTCAGGATGGAACCAACTGGGACTTCTGCCAAGTTACCAGGAATTCAAATCCAGCAAGCTGGGAAAGAACCAGAACCCTGGCAAGCAGACAAGCAAACCGGCAGGAAGCCCACACCAACCAGTCATTGAGGCAGGCTGCCAGCCAGGAAGACACCGGAACCTCGAAATGCATCCGATCAGCACCAAGGGCATCCCGAGTCTCTGCAAGGGGAAGTCAAGAGGAAGAAAACCTCTGAAAACACGAATCCAAGGAAAACAAGGGCACCTGGAAATGAACCTGGGGAAGATCCCTACTTACTGCATTTGTCGATGGATAAGACGCACAATTTTTTTTTATAAAAATGAGTCTAGCGGCTAAAACGACCGTAATACAAACAGGATACCGAGGGCCGTAAATCTGAGAGTTGGATGAGCATACAGGGAAAGGTCGCTAGGCACAAAATAAGTACCCATAATAAAATAATGAAAACAAAGCCAATGACCACAGTCCGTGAACACAAGACTGAGGTGATAATATACAGAAGTACCAGTACCCAGTCTCGTACATAAGACAAGACTGCCCCGGGAACACAAGACCACCACCCACAATTCCTCATGGGGGAACAGACAGGGCAGAAAAATGAATGAATCAATACGATTGGTACACCCATAATGGGACACGGGTGGTAAATGTGTACCCAAAGAAACCACAGATATTATTACAATGGACTTGTCCAGAGGCAGAGTAGTAAGGAAAGGGAAAGCAGGAGGCAGGGACACAGAAATGCAGGAGCTCAAGAAGCTCAGGAATGTGCTGACCATTAAAATGATGGGTGAGAAGCAGGTCCAAAGAGCAAAGCACAACCCTTGCAAGCACAACTAAAGAGAGTACAACAAGGCAAGCACAAACTTACCAAAACTACTTACGACACCTCGGCAGCTATGAGGGAAACACACACCAATTCACGTACCTGCCCACCCCTTTCATAGCAGACATAACCCACACCTGAGACATTGTCAAGCAAAGGCGAAAGACTAAGTCACTGGTAAGAACAAGTCATTAACTAAATAAAAAACACCCCAAAACACGGGAAAAGAAGGATAAAACTTCAACTGCTCAGCCGCCATCTTATCTTGAGGTTATCTTGAGATGATTTCGGGGCTTTAGTGTCCCCGCGGCCCAGTCCTCGACCAGGCCTCCAGGTCGAGGACTTTGCCATATGCAAAGAGTGTGTACCAACAAACCACAGCTGAGGGATGGTGCAATACAATCGAAGCACTACCCTGGCAGCTAGTCGTAGCAACTCAAACTGTAAGCAAAATTCTTGTCAAAAAAATCAGTACTGTAATGAAACCTGGGAGTAGGGATGAGCAGGAGTACCAAAAGCATTGAAAAATAATGTGCAATAAATGTATGACAAACCAAACGAAAAGGTCGTTATATTAATATATACCATACTTTATATATTTTTGTTTTCTCCCAGGACAAAACATCCAAGTAAAAGATGGATGTGCCAGACACGAGGGTGCGTAAATCAAGCTGGCAAATACTGTACTGTAATATTAATTTAGAAAAGGAGGGGGGGGGGCATGAAAACTC